GTTCCCACAAGAATACGACACGAAACGAGACTGAGACAGAATCCTGTAAATTATTAACGTAAGAAAGCGTTGAAAGAAGTTGTCAGTTTTTCAACTTCTAACTTATCTTTAAAATCCTACATATCAAGTGTGTAATTTCTTCTTAGTTCTTTCGTTATTCATATAATTTTTTAATATTTAACATATCGCATCTCACACAATAATATCTCTCTAGGACACATCCTCTAGAACACGAACTAGATATAAATACATGACAGGATAGTAACAGAGAGTGAAAGGAGAAGAACAGACAATGTTTGAATCTAGATGCACTCGTTGTTTAGAAATAAAGAAAAGTCAAGTTTCTTTCATAATACAAAACAAAGCCTACTCGTAGAGGCACTTGAAGCGTGATAACATTAAGTGTGTGTGTAGAGTTTTGTTTATTCGTCTGTTTTATACGTGTACAGAAACAAAAGATCTTCGTGTAATTTTCTTTCTTTATTAGTAAGCTTATCAGTAGCGCTGTGAAAAGCTTTGTTTTAACGAATATACAAAACTTCTACCTATAGATTTGCAATCTAATCAGTAAGAGTCACTTGAGGATGGACTGCCACCTGAACAACATACAATACAGATTATCAAAGATCCACTAACAGTCAGAACAAAAGAAACGTATCGTAGCAAACAGAACTATTTCAAAATAAAGTTTTTATTACTGTTTGTTGTACTTTGTTAGGTAATAGATGTTTCTGATATACATATATATATATATATACATACACATAGAGGCTTGTTTCTGGCTTGAAAATAGAATACAACCATAGTTTTTCAAGTGATTTGTCTCCAAAAGTATATTTTCTTTATATATATAGAATATTTTCTTTATATGTCAGAATTATTTCTTAAAGTGCGCATTCCACCAGTGACTTCTGTTATCAACCTCTTTAAGTTTCGCCAATAATTTTTAGTGTAAAGATAAAATTCTGTGTTACTTTGGTAAATATTTTAATGGAATATAACGTCACAATCCATTTCATATCACACAAACAAACAGAAATAAACTTAATTAAGAAACAAATCAACCCAACAAAACATACACAACTTCAATCAGATCATGTACACACAATTTTATATCATACATACAAACACATATACAGAACAATCTTAGTTAAGAAAAAGCACAAACCTAGTGAAAAATACACAAATGCATTCACATCACATATACAAAATGAGGGTTAGATAACATCATTTTAACTTGGGAGACTTGATATTATCAAATCCTGTTTTACATAACTTCAGCACCGCCATGTAAACTAAGTAAAGCTAAAATATTGATTTATGTTTGTTTGTTTTCTTCTTTGCAGGTTCAAAAGAATTGCGTTTCTTCAATTACTGTGGACAGTGTTAAGATGTTACACTTAACAAAGTTTCAGTACGTTATAATAAAACGATTTTGGAGCTTCGCCACGTGGTTAAGCTACAAGTCGCAAGGTCAGCCTATCTGGTAGCCGAAAATATTGGCAATAGCCAATATAGCTTCCATTGCAAAAGGCTCCGTTGTAAGTAGGTTATGCCAAAGCATGTCACCCTTCCATGCATGCTTTCCATAATCCATCTAGTTTGTGAGAATGACAGTCTCTCAGTACCCGTTTCAACAGTCCGATTACACATAAATCCTTAAGTATTGAGTCAAGTATGTCTTTATATGGAATAACATGAATATTTGTTTCACTCTCAAAATGCTTGAAGTATGCAACGGTTCAACGGATATGTCTTGGAAGCAACTGGTGTACACGTGACTTGTGTTGCTTTACCAGGTCGAAGTCCTTCTTGCTTATGTTTCGTACTTTTGCCTTCGATACGTGGACGGCTTTTGTCACTGAATTGTGTTCGTAGATTTTCACCTGTTATTAGACGCCGCACGTTGCTTACCACGGACGTCGGGGTAAGACTTGTTGCACGTCTCCTTCTGGATGGTCCTAGTAATCCCAAGGTGATCCATATTTCTTTATTTTTTACTGCCATTATGTATACGAGATATCCCTTTGTTGGAAATTATAAATTTCCGATCTAAACATATCTTTATGACCTGAGTGTATGAATATTTTGTGTCAGGAAGGGTTGTTAAATACCCTTACCAAAAGCGATCATTTCTCAGTGGCAGCGTTGCAGTTTGATACTTACGGTTCCGCTTTGTCAGATAATCAATAGAAAAACCGTTAGAGATAATGCCACCAATGATGAACGATGTAGATATTCAAAGAATTTCAGAGATATTTCTAGTCACGAGAGTAACTTATCATTTTCTTTAAAGTCATTTATGGATATAAGTTCTGTTTCGCTTCTAGCTTAGCAATATCATTTGAATGTTTCTTTTCAGAAATTTTACATTCATGAACGAATCAAAACTCCGGGTAATTTTATTTTTACAATGATTTGTCGTATCAGACTGAAAACAAAAGGCCTTTCATATATAATTTACGTGTAACGTATTACATTGTATTTTTATCTAATTAGATATCTTTGACTAAAATATAGAGCACTATTAATCTAGAGTACAATATACGAGCAAAGTTCACTATCTGTCAATATCAGTCAATATATCACAGTAATAATGAAAAAGTATTTTAAGTATACAATGTTTTCTTGAAAATTAACGCACAACGTACACTGTATTTCATAAATTTCTGATGTTTCGTACCTGATTCTATTTGCTAATTATCTGTTTGATTACTCTGAATTTTTTTTTGTACTCCAGAAAGCCAAAAGCTGAGTTCTTTTCATTCCTTCATGGGTATATGCTGATTATGTGACAAAAACATATTGGTTGGGTGTATTCTAATATGGCGTAGAACGAGCTAGAGATAACTGTAGTTGCTGTTTGTTTTTTTTTTAATATTAGCTCAAAGTACACCACATAGGCTAACTGAGCTAGCGATCCGTAATTTTGAACTAACACTCTAGCAGGATGGTAGCTCGGTAATAGCACTCACCACCAACTCTTGGGCTACTCTAATCGAATAGTGAGATTTCACCGTCACTCTTTAACATAGCCACGTCGCCAACGTGCGGAGCTCGATTTTGTGGCAACGGGACGCGAGCCGAGAAACTTCTCATCCATAGTCCGGCACTCAAATACTGTGCCATGCCCTGCCAGCTGGAAAAGTATAAGTTAGTGTGTCGGGTCACGTCTGGTATTAAGTTAGTTTGTCGGGTCACGTCTGGTATTAAGTTAGTGTGTCGGGTCACGTCTGGTATTACGTTAGTGTGTCGGGTCACGTCTGGTATTAAGTTAGTGTGTCGGGTCACGTCTGGTATTAAGTTAGTGTGTCGGGTCATGTCTGGTATTAAGTTAGTGTGTGGGTCACGTCTGGTATTAAGTTAGTGTGTCGGGTCACGCTTGGTATTAAGTTAGTATGTCGGGTCACGTCTGGTATTAAGTTAGTGTGTCGGGTCACGTCTAGTATTAAGTTAGTGTGTCGGGTCACGTCTGGTATCAAGTTAGTGTGTCGGGTCACGTCTGGTATTAAGTTAATGTGTCGAGTCACGTCTGGTATTAAATTTCCTCTCATAAATGTAGCAAGCTCAAATGTAAACTTTAGGATAGTTCGACAGTTATTAAATTTTATAAGCACTGCATAGTCGATAATCGCGCGAATTTTGTCACGTTTTCAACGTAATGTTTTTTATGTTAATAAATCACAACAAAATCTCAAGAAAAGGAGACACGTACGGATTACTTACTCATGGCTGTCTGGCTATTCATCCAGAAGTTAAAATATTTTGTTTATATAAGTGTGTGTGGCAATTTATTGGTGTGAATAAAGGAATGCTTTATGTGGTTAATTTCTTCATTTATGTAGTCCGTTGAACAGAGTCTTGTGGCTGTGTTTATGAGGTTTTTAAGGGTATTGATTTTTTTTGTGATGTCATGAGCGGAATTCCAGGGGATGTAGAGGTCAGTGTGTGTGTTCTTGCGGTGAATTTTGGTTTTAAACTGTGTGTTCGATCTAATAATTTTGAGGTTAAGAAAATATAACTGTTTATTGTTTTCATGTTCTATGGTAAATTTGATGTTGGGATGAATGAAATTTATGTGTTTAAAGAAAGTCAGTGTGTGTTCCGTCGAAGTGAAACCAGCAAAAGTTTCCTAAATTCTGAAACAATTTTTTCAATATTTCAATATATTTCTGACTGATAGCTACTTTAAACTTTCGAAGAATTTATGCATTTCTTTTTAAAGATGAAAAATATTACAGTAAACTAATCGATTATATTGGATGGTATTACAGTAAATTAATTGATTATATTGGATAGTATTACAGTAAACTAATGAATTATATTGAATGGTATTACAGTAAACTAATCGATTATATTGGATGGTATTACAGTAAATTAATTGATTATATTGGATAGTATTACAGTAAACTAATCGATTATATTGAATAGTATTACAGTAAACTAATCGATTATATTGGATAGTATTACAGTAAACTAATCGATTATATTGGATGGTATTACAGTAAACTAATCAATTATATTGGATAGTATTACAGTAAACTAATCAATTATATTGGATAGTATTACAGTAAACTAATCGATTATATTGGATAGTATTACAGTAAACTCATCGATTATATTGGATAGAGAGAAGTATTTAATGTTCTTCGTTCTTTCTGTAACTTAAGGTAACTGCTGCAGTCTGCAGTAGCATAGCGTTGGTAGGTTTAGCTCTAGTAACAGCATCAAATTTGATGGCTTCGAGAGTAACATTGCATTCCTAAACGAAATCAACGCATTTTCAACAAACCAGTTTTGGACTGAAATCGTTTAAAAAGTACAACATTTTATTCCCCAAATGAATGTTTCAAAAAAATTCTTGAACAACTGTCATTAAAAACTAATATCATTTACATTTCATTTCGGCTTCGTAGCCATCTGAAAATAAAACACGTAACTACGATAGGTAATGAACCTTGTTAAGCCTAAATATAGTTGGATAGTAAACATTTCACACCTTAACACAAAACACAGTCGTTTTTATTTCCGTAAGTAATGTTATACAAGCATCTAATATACAATATATGTTTTTAAATAGTCAAATAAACATTTAGAAAATTAATGTACACATTTCTTTGTTTATAAACACTTTAGCACTAGAAATATTATTGTAAATATACATACAGGTAATCTACTCTACTTCAAATAGTTTACATAAAATTTACATTTGAAATTCAATCGATTTTTTACATGTTTTGTACTTGTATCATAAAAACTACAACAAGATGGATATTCTGTGAAATATCACAAACCCTAGAATTTATCTGGGTTGGCATTTTTGTCAAGATACTTGTGTACTTAAATTATCATTCACGGATTTACGAGCTTCTTAGTCCTTGGATTTATTTTATGTTTATGTACTACTACTACATATACATACAAACTTTAATAAGCTTTCTTCGGTATGTTAGGTTACATCTGTTTAACAGTAACACACTACAAATACAAACCTGTACAAAATAATTACGCGTTTTTAAACGTGTACGGGTAAGTACAATGACTTTGTATTTGATAAAGCTTTAAATGATGTCACGTGGGGAGGATGATATGCAATTGTTGATGATTTGAAATCTCGTCGCGGTTTTCGTCTAAACCAGTTATGGCAAAATGCAGTCCACGTTTTCCACGTTTTATTATTCCACACCCAAACACCGGTAGCAATCCCTAGAAGCAGTTTCATGGCGTGTTTTAACATGAATACGTTTTGGTTGGGGATGCTCTGTTTTAAAGAGCAGTGTTCTGTTACAGAAGGATCACATTCATCTACAGTTCCCATGGCAACCGCATACCACCCGGGTCTATTGAAGTACTCGTACACTAAACAAGCAATCACAACAACGGACGGGACTGTATATAGTATAGTAAATGTGCCGATTCTTACCATAAATCTCTCAAGCTTACTGATATTCCGCTCGCCTTGTTTCATAACTTTCCTGATTCGCACTAGCGAAGAAAAGCCTAGAACAATAAACACACTTCCCATGAACAAGAAGGAAGAGATAGGCAGAATGACAAACCTCAGCAAACCATCCCGGCTTCTACTGCCAACATTACACAATCCCGTCAGTTCATCACCTTCTACTTCTCGTAGGATTAATATCGCAATGGTCAGTATAGCTGGCACACCCCAAGCCAATACATGAAAATACGAAGCTCTAGATTCAATGGCCTCATGACCCCACTTGCGTCCGGCAGATAAGAACCACGTGCATGTTACCACAAGCCACCAGAGAGCCGCTGCCATTCCAAAATAATAAAGCAACAAGAAAACGGTGATACAGCCCATGTTTTCTAAGCCTTCTTTGACAAGGTAGGGTTCTCCATTTTTTGTTCTCTCGCAAGAGATGAACTCTGCTCCAGCGAAAATACGAACTAGATATGCAGTACTAGTAATACAATAACACATACTAAGAAAAATGATGGGGCGCTCAGGGTACCGGAATCGAGGAGTGTCAATCCAGAAAGTTGCCACTGTAAGAATATTTGCTACGAAACAGACAACAGACCAAACAACCATCCAAACTTCCACGACATCTTTGTCATGACGAGTAAACAGAACATCTCGGTCACAGCGAGGCGTACATTCTTCAAGACTGGTGGTCATGGATGGTACGAACACGAAATTTCTAGGGCACATTCTTTTCGTCATATTCTGCTCTAACTTTCCGTTTTTATCAGGAGATACTAATATGCCATTATGTGCAATACTATTTCGGTGCGTTCCAGGATATAATAAAGACGGGAGAAGGCTAGGTTCAGTGCTTCTGTTTGTATCTCTGTCGGTGTCCGCTTTCAGTTCTCGCTCGCTCTCAGTAAGACGTGACCGCCGTTCTTCTGCAATACCGGGAAGTTCCATACACAATCCATTTTTTTCTGGTACAGGTAAACGACTACAGTTCAGCATTAGAGGCCAATTAAAACCAAACTTTTGAAGAACAGGAAGACATCGTGCTCTAACTTCTTCACACACAGAGCGACATGACGGAATGGGAACATCCACTTGGTGAGCGCACATTGGAGCATACAGCGAGCAAAGAAAGAAATTTAAATGTTGGGAGCAACCATACTTTACCAGTGACATATATTCGTGTACTTCAATCGCTGCGTCGTTTTGGTTTGTATGTCCCATCAAGTTAGGTATCCTAGTCATGTTATAAGGTAAGTCTCGGCACATTGGAATAGTTACTTTCTCACACTTACCCTGCGTCTCCAATGCCAACCGTTCGTGAACAACCAGGCAGATGACCAAAATAAAGTTAACAAAAGGTATATTACAAATCTTCATTATGACATAAGACATCATCCAATCAGAATAAAGCTTTACAACGCTCGTATTAACGTAAACGTTTTAAATTTCACTTCAGGACGTGCAATGAATATTAATATACAAATCATTGTCCAGAGTACGCATTCGTGCAAGCAGCACTTTTTACATTTTCTCTGTAGAAGAGTTTTCACAGATTTCACTAAAGAAATGACATTTAAAAAAACACGTGTCTAACAAAGTGAGGTTTTCCAGCCTCTCAACATTTCTGACAATACCACCTTCACCGCTGACTGCTGAGGCGGCTTTATTAACGAGAAGTACACGAGCGAGCGAAGTCTATATACACGTGTCTGTAGCTCTTGTGAATGCGGAGATCTTATCTGAAGTATCATTCCGCGTGACCTTGGCGCTGTACATGGCTTGCGAAGCCCGATTTCTAAGGACTCTTCACAAGGCGCATGCTCAGATTTTAATCTTCTATTGTAACTCTATCGGCTTCTGAGACTGAACCAAAACTAGAATTTCTTTTCTTTCTGGACTTCAGTTTAGAATTTACTTTACAACGCGTAAGAAAAGAAACAGGAATAAGTAACAGAACATGAACTGAGCCATCAATTTACTAGAGGAATCTTAACAAAGCGTTTGAACTTACCGGCTCTGGGGATTTCGTCATGGTCCTTCATGCCAATCAAGGGATGGATGGGGCCTAGCAAGTTAGCTTCCTTTTTTTTTTTTTGTAAACCGCAGGGCAATTTAGTTCGTTTATCAAGTCTCTGGTGGTTAATTAACGTGGTATTTGACTACCACCACAAGTTGTTGCCCTTGGGTATTGTGGTTCCGAGAGATGGTAAATGAAACCTGTTTAAACGTATTCTCAAGCAGTCAAAAACGATTCTATATCATTAAGATGTGTGGTCAGGGTGGAGATTATTATATTACAGGCACATCACTCCCTTCAAGAATCTATGTAAGTTTAATTTCAGAATATATTTTTACACATCCTAGAAAACCATCAACTTTTGGTTACAATTTCATAGCATACTTCTTGCTGGCTGACAAGTCTATTAAAAACTTTGTATTAAATCATATTCATGCAGACGCATGGAGGAGGTTAAAATAACTTGTGAAGAAAGTATCAATTCTTGAAAACAAAACTGATACCTACACAGGGCACTTTTACTTGACCTTCTTCTGAATTTGGTCTGTTAAAAATATTTAAACAATATTTGAGTTTTTATGACTTTCATAATAATTTTCTTAACTACGGAGTTTTTATAAATTATAGTGTATGTGAAAGGGATAAAAATATTGTATTGTGGCACTCCTATGTTTTGTATTAAGCTTTGATGGTCAAAATAATAAGAAAATCTCGAGATCTTAAACTAATTAATCTACAATGTAAGCTTCCAATAGAGATTCTTAATAAACTTTAATTTTCCTATAGGAACGAGCTATATCGTTTGTTTGTTTTTTCGCTTTTGTTTACTTAACAGAAACGAACTATTGCGATACATCTACAGTCCTCTGACAGTAACACGAGCAAAGATAAAGCCATGACTTTCCAGGTGCTAAAAATGTACATATCTGTGTTAAAATAATATTATTTATCGACTCCATATCAATCAAGTGGAATATCAATGAAATCACAAAAATCGCGTGCGAACTTTTATGAAAACGTGCATCAGAAAATTCAAAAATACTTTTATATTACAAAAATAAGACTTTTGTATATTGAGCTCTAAAGTTTTATGCGTTATCTAATTCAAAACATCTATGTATTATGTTTATTATGTGTTATCTGTAGCAAAACTGTTAGAATAATTATTCGGCTTAGTATTGCTCCTGTTGTTAAATTAAAAGCGTAAATATTGAGGTGTAATGTTATATATATATAGCCAAACTAAGTTGAATATTGAGGTGCGATGTGGTATCTGTATTGAAACTAATAGCAAATGTCGAGACGTAATGGCACAACGATAGCGAAACTACAGGGATAAATGTCAGGGTGTATTATTATCTCTACAGTGAAAGGCCTATATTACTACATTTAATTTAATCTTCCATCAGGTACAATAAATATCCCATTTTTACTGAAACTATGTTAAATGGTAATACACAAATCTCTCTCCTGTTAAACTATTGAAAGACGTAGTTATCTGTTTCTGTATACCATATTATAAGAGCAAAGAGCTTTATTAAAGGTAGTGCGAACGAGAAGATATAAGGAATGTAACTCTGTGGGTGTGATAATAAGTTTAAAAAGTATGTTAATGTTATACATAGAACAAGCTCTGTATACCTTGATCTGGTTAACCTTAACCCAAAGGGAGAGTAAAGTAACGGCTCTTGCAGCTTCGTCATGCTATCATGTAATTATGTATATAAGAACAACGGGGACTGTACTGGAAGTTGAACATGTTTTAGTATTATTAAGTTATGAATTGAAAATTTACATCAATACTGTCTAAAAAGAAAAGTGGCTGTTTGTGTGTGTATTTTAAAATTATTTTAACCAAAATTTTCTCTTACGATATCAGATATCTTTACAAGATATCTATATGCTATATTCTCTACCCATTAAAACACCATTATAGTGGGTGATATCAAATATATTATACAGTTGCATCATTGAATAACAAGTATGGCCACGCTTAAAGACCAGTGAATCCCAAACTTCCTCCTCGCGTGAGACGTGAAACCCCAAACCACTTTTCGATGATTATATAATTTTTGACCACACATTAACACGAACGCTCAAATTCTGTCGGTATCACTTTTCATAGTTATGAAGAGGGGAAAAAAGAAGACTACGAAAAGATCGACATTCTTTCTCTGTATTCATGTAATACAATTCTTGAAATATTATATGTCGTTTCACTTTAAAATGTACCACTTCTAAATTGGGCTGTATAAAAGAATTGGGCCTTTCAGAAGTTCTATGATTTCGTATTTAATATATTTTGGAAAAGTTTATGCATTATATACATAAAGATGAAAAAAATCTCGCTACCATTAGCGACAGATAAAAGGCTCCAACGCTGTATCCTGAGCAAAGTCATAATTTTACCGCATTGTTTATCGTCGCCTTTCATAATGTGAAATGCGCTTGGACAATTTGCTTTTTTAAATGCACAATAAAACCTCCATTAAAAACATTCTTGAGTCACACCTCTGAATATTCGTAAAGAACGATATATGAAATGAGTTTCATTTATGGCAAATGAAACTATAGGTGTAGGTTACAAACTACAATTTGGGAAGAATAAAGCGTATACCAGGAAGATAGGTATCTGTAAAACTCGGATTACCACAGGAGCGGGAATACACCGTCTATCAGACTTAAATTCTACTAGCAAGCTTCACATATGAAATAAAATTCGAACTAAAATAAACTTTTTATATAATATTAAGACCAGATAAAATTGTTCAAGGCCCAACATCTAAAACTAACATTGACTATCTGTAACCTGTTGTGGGAACGTTAGATACTTGTAATGATACAGAATATCAAGGTGATGAATAAATAAAACAGGTTGACACGCTGGAACATTGGGAATGATAAATCTCCTATGGCTGGTATTTCAACAATCATAGTGCTCACATACCCTGGTAGAGCCTAAAAATGAGAAAAATGAAAACGAATGTTGTCGCCATATTAAAAATTAGTAATACACCCCGCCTCTTTTCTGATCAATATGCTGTTAAAGCGACCGTCCAATTGTTTGGTTTATCTAAATAACCACTCATGCCATCTAACACATGTCTAACAGAAGTACTTTCTTAAGCTATTCTAATTAAAGAAACCTTGATCAAAATATTTATATAAATGATTTTTATTACAACTATACTTGACAATTTTGTGTACATTTTCTCTACTATTATTAGTTTTCTATCTGAATAAAAATTTTATAAAATCGCAATTAAATATTTAAAGACAATAATCAATGATATTGTTGAAAACCATTATGCTTAAGCCTAACAAGATGTGGTATTTTCAACGTCAACGGCACCATATACGATACACTGGTTAAAGTGGCCAAGTCAAAGACTTTGTAAGATTCAAATATAGCGATCACTAATTTTGAATTACTCACTAGAGAGAAGTCAAACAGTCAGCAACACCAGTCGCAGCAAGATTTTTCCCCAGTATGGAACCAAATAACTGGATTGACTGTCACTCTTATAACGCACCACATTAACGGATGAAAGTGGAGAACGTTAAACGACATCGCGGCGAGAAGCTTGGGTCTTCCGTTCCGAAACCCATTAAGCTATTATGCCCCCCAGTAGCACAGCGGTATGTCTACGGACTTACAACGCTAGAATCC